ACCAAAGGACTTGTATGCATGCATATAAGCATAACCAATGGACATAAGACACTGGGGGGTAGGGGAGGCCAGGGGATTGTCAAGGGCGGGGGGAAAAAGGAGAAATATGTAATACTCTTTGTAATAATTTAAGCAATAAAAAAAATATATAAAAAAAACTAAGGAAATGAAGTGTTGAATATCCTAACAGTAAAGAATAATTAAAATATATACTAAAGTCCTGTCCAGCATGAACTATCACTTTCAATAGCTTAAACCAGTGGTTGTCCAAGTGTGGTTTGAGACCCTGTCAGAGGGTTGGTCCACAGGTCAAAACTCTTTTCATAATAATAGTAAGACATTATTTCTTCATTTCCCTCTCATTCACGCATGAGTGTAAAGTAGAGATCAGCAAACTAAACTGGCCAGCAGAGCAAATCTAGCCAAGTCCACTCAATTACATATTTCCTACAGTGGCTTTTAAACTACAGCAACAGAGTTGAGTAGTTGTGAAAGAGAAGTCTCTGTCTCTGGCTTGCAATGCTGGAAATACTTATTACCTGGCCCTTTACAGAACACCTTTGCTAATCCTTACTTGAATGACTAATAGAATGTGCACTTATATATTCTTGTGTTTTCTATAGTGGTCTAAGATATTAGATTTAAAGTATAAACAAGAACATTTTAGAGGTTAATTCCATTGTTTTTTGCCTCAGTATTTCAACTGTGATTACATCTACTATCATCTCATTAACCTGAGTAGGGCATGGTCACCAAGATTCAGAGGCCAAAACTGTTCTTAAAATTCTGATGATGAAATACACAGAGCACTAACATGATATGACCAAGCTGTATCACTTGGACATGATGATTTTTATCTTTGGAGTTTGCAAACCACGCAGCCATTACCCTCTCATTTAATACCAAAGAAAATGTATCGGGATTGCCCCAGTCTCTAAACAGACGGCATATTTCTGTGCTGACAAAAACATGACTGCCTGGAAAGTGGTAAAAGCTCAGCATCAGGAGGCTGTGGGACTGGCCCTACAAAAGGGGCCCCGGTGTTTGGCCCACTGTCTCTCAGGAGCTAAGGACAATGCAGATCATGTCTTCCTAGAAGAAATTATTGTGTAGGTCTGAGATGTCCAGAGAATTTTTTCTCTTCATGCAACAACAGGAACTTGTTGCAGACAGCTAGAGCAATTACTCACTTACCAGAGAAACTGGTAGTTATCTTAAAAATATGAATGTTTCCTGGGCAAACAGGGATATATAATTCATATGCATGCACTATGTAACATTTGCTTTGGGAAAAGAAAACAAAAGTAAGCAAATAAAAAACACTCTTTTGAACATAAGTGTGAAACAAGATAATCCATTTGTAATCACAACACCAAGCAAAGAACCTTTCTAGAAGTCTAAGGAAATGTTCTTAAGGTTATGGTTTGTTTCAATAACAAATTTCAAAACCTTAAATGGTGCAAAAAGTACTAACATCTTAACTGTAACCAGATTTTATATTATCCAGACAAGAGAGTCTGGTTAAAATATCCTAAAAAAATCATGATTTTTAAAAGAGCAAATTGCAATTTTCCTAAATATCAAGAGGGCAAGAAATGAGAAACAGCCATGTGGTTTCACAAACTCTCTATTTAGAGGCTAGCAAGAAGGAGAAATTTGTACCAGATACTGAGGGAAGGATTAAAGCTGTTCCCTCAGTCAGGGCTAGTAAGGAAGCAATATAAATAACAGTAGGATAGGAAGACCATAAAAAGAGTAAAGAAAAAACATGCATGCAGTGGACTTGTAAAGCATTCAATGATATTTATTTGTAAGAGAGAAGGAGGGGATTTACAATAGAGGACAAATCAAGAGCACATTTACACAAACAAAGGGCAAAGTGAATTATTAGTATCTACCCCAGGCACCAATTTGCCATCACTTCCATCCATCAATATCTCCTTGCCCTTATATTGGTACCAATCACTAATGAGAAATTAAGGCATCTTATTCCTTCACCTCATAGCCCAGGAGAAAAAAGGGCTACTAAGGTCTGCCAAGTCCAATTATCAGAACTCCATTTCTACAAAGTAGTTTGGGGCCAAATAGTTAAGTTTTAAAGTGCTCCTTTGCCTGACTTCAGACTATAAGTATCTCTCTCCCTTGGTGATCTTAATGATGAAGGATTTGGCTAGTTAGGGTCCTAGTTATTTCCCTCTCTTCTCATAGAAAAGACATAACTCACAGTACTGACGCCATTACGATAATATACTCTCAAGTGCATGTATATTAAAGGAAGAAAAAAAGAAACAACAGAAGGAAATTGGCTGGGCCCTGAACAGTGAAACCACTAGTTATCTAAGTAAGCCATAAAACTAAAGAACCTGGGTGCCCTCAGGTCACCACACTTGATAGGGCAGTGATAAAGTAGCAGCCTCTTCATTCAAAAAGAATTTCAAAATTAGAAAGTTAAGAGATACATGCTTTCAGAAAATGTTCGATGTCCCAGGTCACTACCTAGTCAGCAGTGGAGAACCAGCCTGATTCTTAAGCAGACACCTCCTGAAATCACCCCCAGCTTTATTCCAGAACTCAATGAGCTGTGCTCACCAGTCCCTACCACAGGGTGTCTGCTGAATATCCTCCTTTAGTAATCTTCTGGCATTTCTTCTAGCCTTTAATGGGGAATGTGCCAGAAACTTCTTCCTGATAAAAAAAAACAACTAATAATCTAGGCAGCTTAGCCAAGTCAATCTTTTCCATTTCATAATATACATAAAACTCAATTTGGCTGGAAAATATCCACCCTGCATTTAAAATCTCTTAGAAATCTATACATTGAAATATTCCAATTTTCATTACTATTTTCCCTTACACTTCCCAGTGTGTGGTCAGGTAGAACCCTTGGTCACAGCTCCTTGCCATGTGTTTGCAATTGCTGTCCTCTGCATTCAGAGGACCCATGGCTTAAGTTTTGATCAGAGGAAATAAGACTGGCTTTTTTAAAAGGTTTAAAATCAAAAGACACTTTGTAAATGTGATTTAAAAAGGAGTCACATACTAAACTTGACAAGCATGAAGGCCTTACAACCTGAGAGCCTAAAGTAACCACACAAGGTGGTCTGAGCATAACACTTCCTAACTAAAAGTGGGTCATGATGGGTAGTGATGTCCTAGGCTGAAGCCTCCTTGACAAAGATCAATCTTTAACTTTAAAATTGTCTATTGACTTTGTACATCTATATAATAAAGAGCTAATATGCAAATGGTCATGACACCCTCACATGTTAAAGACCGATCAGTAGGAGGTTGCGTGCACAGCAGGAGTGGGTGGGCGGGGACTTACAGCGTCAGGGACTTGTGTGAGGCTCGCGTCCCTACCCCCGGTGCTGGGCCCAGGGATATGAGGCTCGCGTCCCCGCCCCCAGCGCCAGGCCCAGGGACATGAGGCTCATGGAGGCCTCACTCTTTGGGGCGATGGATCTCGGGGCTCCCGCACTATGACAGGGGATAGGACAGGCTGGGGGATCCCCACCTCACCGAGTGCACAAATTTCGTGCACCGGGCCACTAGTCTAAAATAAAATACCTTTTAAATGTCAGAGTAATCTTCTTTTCCAGACCCAGAATCCCTCATTGTTACCTTGTTCCTCCACATACATCTCTCTGTGCTATAAATGTCAACTATCCTGTACACACCAAAGTAAAAGAAGTATATGAATCTTCACTTGCTTTTTATCCAATCTCAGAGGTTTCCCAGCTTTGCTTTCTTCCTCCCCCTTAATCTACCACCAATGAATTTCATGTAACCCTCCTAATGTCTCCTCCTTTGATTCTCATGTATGAAATAAGCTGCAAAACTGCCATTCTCCAGAGCATACACTTTTTTTTTTTATTATTGATTTCAGAGAGGAAAGGAAAGGGAGAGAGAGAGAGATAGAAACATCAATGATGAGAGAATCATCCATCGGCTGCCTCCTGCACGCCCCCCCACTTGGGACCGGGTCGCAACCCAGGCATGTGCCCTTGACCGGAATCGAACCCGGGACCTTCCAGTCCACAGGCTGACACTCTATCCACTGAGCCAAAGTTGCTAGGGCTGGAGCATTTTCTCAATTGTTTCCCAGAGATTATCATCCATTTGGCTTAAAAAATACTTTTTTTTAGGCTGGATGTTCTTTCGTCTACATAAAAATAACCTACCTATAAAATTTAAAGTGATCCATTACCACCACCAATTACAAAAATAATTATAATAAATTATTTTCAAATATATAAATAATTTTCAAATGTATTGAGTTAAAGAAAAATACAGGATAAAATGAAGTGCTTTAGTAAGGATTTTAAAGATCAGTTTAATTCTGTTTATATCAACCATAAGTTGAGGCTGACCTCATCACAGGAAATTTCAGGTTAGCTATCAACACAACTCAAAACCTATTAGGAAATGACAACAGCCAGCCATCACTGACCACACAAACCACCAGTGGCATTGCTGTCCCTCCTCATAACCAGCAGCTGTAAGTTTATCAAAGATCCTCCTTTCCTAAAAGCTGATACAGGTCAGAAATTGGGAAGATACCAAATGTGTTGTGTGATTAATTCTGGAGCACAGAGAGAATTCTAATACCTAACATGATTAATTTACTAAAATAAAATGTCAGCTAGCAGTCCAGTACTCACCTTTTTCATGAACACAAACTGAGAGTTTCTTAACACCATCAACCAGAACATGTTGTGTGTTGCCATGTCCATCTTCTGAGTCGCTGTCTTCAAACTGAGCCTCTATAATGACATCAGGACTGTCATTATGACCTTTCAGGGACTGTTGCAGGAGATGGCTTCCACAGATTTCCTCAGGGAGATCTGATTCATAGGCACCTTCTGTTTCTTTGTCACTGCTCTCTGGTTTAATTACCTGAAGAAAATAGAAAAGTTCTGCTAAATGAAAGAAAGAAAAGGAAAGAGCAGATTTTTCTTTTTTCTTTCCTAAGGAAAAACTGCATATTCAGAGATTCCAACATTGGACACTCACCATGTAGTTTGAAAAAGGTTCTTTATTTTCTGAACCTTATTGGAAATGATCAATCCAGCAGTGCCAGGTTGGCACTTCAGCTCTGCAAGATGCCCAAGGTGAACGCCACATTCACTTCTCATTTTTCTAATGTACATTTTCATCCCCTCTATCCTAAAGACCCCAAATACGAGAAGTACTATGCTGCTTCATAAGGATTCATCACATGGATCAAAAAGTAGGTTGGATAATGATAAAAGAACTCAAAATAGCATATCACTGAACTCCCAGTGAAGCCACAAGAATATAACATGAAAAAAAAACAAAGTGTGAACAAGAGCTTACAAAATGTACTCATATAAAACATAAACCCTTAATTCACCATTTTGAGGCCTGAAATCAATATAGAAAGCACACAATATAGAAAGATGGAAAGGTGCTCAACCTCATTAGTCATGAGAGAAATACAAATTGAAACCACAATGAGATAGCATTACTAACCCACATTTGAGCAAAAAACTAAAATCCTGACAATAGCAAATGTTAGCAAAAAAGTATAGCAACACACTGCTGGTATGAATGTAAACTGATCCAGCCCTTTCTAGAACAGATCAGGACTGTGAAATAAAGCAGAAAACAGACCCACTTGACTCCTGCCCTGGCTTATTCCACCACACTGCCCTGCCTTCCTCTGGATTTTGATAGGTGAACACATGAAAAGGAGAAGACTGAACTGGGAAAGGACATACATGCAAAAGCAAGAAGATAAAATGCAGACTTTCCTTTAGGAAAGGCAAGTAATACCAAAATGTACAGTAAGAGTGAGAAGGGAGGATGAAGAAGCAGACATGAAGAGTCCAAATGCCAACTTAATGAGTCTGGTCTTTACTGTAAAGCAAGTGAAGTGAAGAAGCAGAAAAAAAAGTGCTTAAGAGCAGGAATTCTAGTCGACAAACTGGGTTCACATCATTGGCTCTGCTGCTTACTAGCTATATCACTTCGGGGAAGCTATTAATCTCTTTGAATCTCAGTTTCATTCTCTTTAAAATAGGGACAGAAGTATCCAATATCATAAGGTTATTGTGGAAACTGAGATAACATATAAAAAGCTATTAGCCTAGGTTCCTAGAACATGGGAGGGAGCTTAATAAGTGAATTTGTATAGGGGAAACGAATTCAGTCTTTAGACTCAGGAAGTCCAAGGTGATAAAGGACCATCCAGGTGGCAGCTGGAAATGTAGGTCTGAAGATAGAAAAGTATACTGGGGGACTGAAATCCAGATTAGGAAATTAACCACAATGGGTTGACAGTAAAGTAAAGATGAGGTGTACCAGGGCCAAGAGTCAACTGAAAAGATAAGCTGAGACTAGAGCCCTGAGAAGAGACTCAAATAAAGGGAGTTCAACAAGGGAGAGGAGTTAATGAAGTAGAGAACATCTACACTAATAATAGACAAATTTGTAAATTGACCATACCGCCGTGACACCCCACAGCCAATCAGGAGGGAATATGCAAATTAGCGGGACAAAGATGACGTGGCCACGGAGCCAGCTGAAGCAGGCGGGAGGTTTGGGTCACCCCCAGCGACGGAGGAAGCCAAGCTTCCCACCCGCCTGGGCTGACGCCAAAAGAGGGGCCTTTGGGTGGCAGTCACAGAGCCAGCCTGAGCGCAAGGGAGGCTTGGGTCGCCCAGGCCGGCCGCCGAGGGAGGGGCCTGCAAACGGCCCTCAGTCCCTCACTCAGGCTGGCCATGCCACCATCGGGGTGAGGGTCCCCGCTGGGGGTGTGTGGCCAGCCTGCAAACAGCCATCAGCCCCTCACCTAGGTTGGCCAGGCACCCCAATGGGGACCCCCACTCTGAAGGGGGGGTGGCTAGCCTGAAAACGGCCCTCAGCCCCTTATCCAGGCTGGCCAGGCCCCCATGGGGTGAGGGTCCCCACTGGGGGGCCTGGCCAGCCTGCAAACAGCCATCAGCCCCTCACCTAGGTTGGCCAGGCACCCCAATGGGGACCCCCACTCTGTGAAGGGGGTGCCAGCCTGAAAACAGCCCACAGCCCCTCACCCAGGCTGGCCATGCCCCCCATCAGGGACCCTCACCCCATGGGGGCGTGGCTGACCTGCAAACTGCCCCAGCCCCTCATCCAGGCTGGCACCATCCCCAGTGGGGACCCCCCCATGGGAATGTAGCTGGTCTGCAAACCACCACAGGCCCCTCAGGCTGCCCTGCCCCCCAAGGGGAACCCTTCAGGGCAAACCAGCCAGCCCCCACCCGTGTACCAGGCCTCTATCTATACTAATAATATGCTAATTAGACTGGGAGACCTTCCAGGAGACCTTCTGGACATTCTTCTGGACAAAGCCATGGTGGCAGGGCCGAGGTAGAGGCGGTTAGGGGCCAAGAGGGGAGGGCAGTTGTGGATGATTAGGCCAGGCTGGGACAGCAGCTGTGGGTGATCAGGCCGGTCGGGGAGGCCAGTGGAGGTGATCAGGCCAGCGAGGGGGAGGGAGGTTGGGGGCGAGCAGGCTGGCAGGGGGGGCAGTTGGGAGCGAGCAGGCCAGCAGGCAGAGTGGTTAGGGGCGATCAGGCCGGCAGGCGGGGGCGCCCTAAAGTGGCAGTCGGACATCCCCCAAGGGGTCCCAGATTGGAGAGGGTGCAGGCCGGGCTGAGGGACACCCCCCGCCCCGTGCACGAATTTCATGCACCGGCCACTAGTTTAAATATAATTATGAATGTTAATCATAATAAACACTAAGGCTTTTATTATCACTCTTCATATTTACACACACTAACTGATTTGACCCACACAATGACCCCAGGTGATATAGAGGAAAATAATAATATTCAGTTCACGGAGGAAAGAACAGGTTCATACATGTCACAACCCCACAGCAACTAAACAGCAGAGCTGTGACAAGCACACAGGTCTAGGGCACTAGGTCCAGTGCTCGCAGTCCTGGACATGCCTATGGGAGATTTCCTGCAAAGAGATTCAGAGTGAGCTTTGCACAGACAGCTCCCACCATGAACATACACTGCATACAATGTCTCTGCATTGTTTGTCTGCCTGGCAAATAATCAACATTCAGGACCTCGCTCTTCTGTGAATGATTCTAACTACTTTCCCTCTCTTAAGAAATGTTCTTTTTCCTTCCTTTGTTCCACTGCTATTCCTTAACTATTCTTTCATTACAAGGTTCCTTGACCAGGCTATATTCCATTTATTTGTTGCATGTTTCTTGCTCCAACCAGGCAGCAAACCATGTCACATTCATTTTTTTATATTCCTCAGAGGTTCCCAAAATGTTTGGCACATAAAAATGCTCAATAAATATTGGTTTCCTTTTCTCTTATGAAGAGAATGAGAAAGACTTAAATCAGCTGTAAAAGAAATATTCTTTAAAAATTGCAAGAAATGAATAAAGTAACTACCAAGCAGCAAGAGCCAGCTAAACTGAGATGCTTGTCAACATGATATTGCATTCTTCCCCATTAACCACTATGTCTGGAGACCAGGAGTCATCAGTTAATCATCGCAGTTGAAACTTAGCACCATATGAAGGAACTATAAATACAAATGCAACTGAGTAAAACTGGAAGCCATTTAAATAAATGCATTTTTCTAAAATAACTCTAGAGCTTCATACCTAAATTATAATGCCATATTTCAATATAAACTCAAAATAACCATAAAGTTCACCATTACCCAATTTGAAAACAACAGTTTTAGCAAAAAAAAAAAAATCACAAATGCCTAGATAAAGAAGAGAAAGTAGAGAACGGAGCATAACTTGCAGGGACATCTCCTGATTCCTACAAAATCATGAAGTAGCAATCTATCCCTTAGAAAGGGGGGAAAAGAGGAGGAGAAACGTCTACACTGAGCTGTAAATTAAATCAACTGCAGTTACTGGAACTTACCAGAATCAAGAATCTGGCCGTTCAAAACTATTTAATATTAGATTTTCTCCCCCTTCCTTTTAAAGTTAATATATTAATGCATTGAAAAACTGGACAGCCACAGAAAGGGTCCTTGTAACCAAACAATTCCAATGAAATCCTAAATAAAAATGCTAAGTAACATTTCTATCACATATGGCTTACCCAAATCCCAAGCATGAAACATTTCATAGTTTCCCCACTTACTGACATAGAAAAGCCCTTCCTTGAACATAAAAGCTATCTTTAAAGAGTGCTATTTTAAACCTTATAAAAAAGAGCAAGTCTATATTAGCACGGAAAATTCTGTTCCAGCAAATAAATTATATTACATTCCCCAGTGCTATCAACTGGGTATAATGGAGGTTTTCCAGAAGATTTACATATACCTGTCCACACACACTTTCTGCTGACAGGACTGTTTAGTTGAGCAGTGTTGGCTGAAGACTTTGTACACAGGAGATACTGCCCATCCCATCCTACTACCTGAGCATCTGGTTCAGTCCTAATGCATGTTAAAGTCCACCTAGGAGCTGCTTTTCGTTTCTTGGCTCCTCTGGACAGGCTTAAGTGACAGCACTCACATGCCACACATGTTTGAACAAACTTTCAAATCCCTTAATGGCACACTTGGGACAAAGTATAATACACTGTTCAGGAAATACTTTGGAGCCAAGAAAAGCAATTGATATTTCCACAGGGAGTTCCTGACAAGACTTGCCAATAGCTTCTTTCATTATAAAATATGACCATAAACACTATCATTTTTAAAGACATATTACAGAGGTTCTTAACGGCATATCTGTTATTGGGAACTTTGCTTAAGGTAGTTGATCCAAAAGTACCTTTTATTTAGTTAATAGGAACAGAACAAACTATCTCCATTCTTCCAGTTACTCAAAAAATCCCATTATCCTTCTAGGTCAATTAATCTCTCTCTCTCTCTCTCTCTCTCTCTCTCACACA